GCAATTAAGCCCTGATATTTTAGTACGTTGTAATCTTACCTTGAATACACGATATCCAAACTTTGGAACAATCTTATGCGAAGAACTTTAATAGAGATCAACATAGCTTACATGTAAGCTTAGTTTATGGTAAAAATTCCATTATTTCAACTAAGTTTCAACTGCAAGAAGCATGGACTATAGGAAACATGGGTTTCGACTTAAAGGTTATTACTTACATTGAAGTAGTCTCCTGTCCCTTCTGGTCAATTCTGCCGCTAATAATTTGTCTCGAAACACTATTTTGATTTAGAACACACTCAATATGCATTCATTTGTCTTGGTAGCCTCCCACACGGTTCGTCACCCGTTCCTGCCCCTGTTGGTGACCGAGCGTTCTCCTCCGCATTTGGACCACTGACCAATCGTAGAGCCGCAAAGACAATTTTCATTCGTGTTATGACGTCTTTATTGAAAAATAGAACCCGCAAGCAGACAAGCATACGGGTGAGTTAACAACAATCGCGTAATAATATATACCAAAGTATACAACGTAAATTGAAAATCTAAATAGAATTAATAAGACATCTATTGATAAAACATCGTTTGAACCTTTCAGTCCTAGCAAGCGGCAAGATGTAATCGTGGAGACTGCTGTCTCGTAGTTTCCTCATGCGCTTCATGGGGAGAAGATCATTTAAATAGTGACTGTCAGTGGTTACCTTCTTCCATAATTCCAAATCTTTTTCTTGTATAAAATATAAAATATAAGATCAGTTATGGGACAACGGGCTGCGGAAGCGGCGGGGGGGGGGGTTCAGCCCACCCTTTTTTTCGGTGGGGGTACTTTTGTAGAATAATAAATATCTTTCTTTTATTTTACCACGGTCAACTCATTAGAAATTAAAAACACTACTGCAAAGTTCCCATAGTAGCGACTCCCCGAAAGTAACGTCAAAAGTTTCTGACTTCTAATAAATCCCGAAAATAGCGAGCCCCCGAAAGTAGCGCGAGCCAACAAAAAGTATTGAAAATAAGTTTTTTAAATTTCGTTAGAAACATTCCAGGACATACCTACATGCCATAATGCGTTTATTGTTTTCCAATTACAATCCATGGTCAAATTTTTAATGTATAATACTAATATCTTCGTGCATTTACAAATTTACCATGACAAGGCACTTTACAACAAATCAAACATAGTTAACGCCAGTTCACAGATTGCACAATGTAAAAACTAAACTGATATAAAGTTCATGTCAACACCAGGAACGTTATATGAACAAGTTAAAACTCAAACTTCTGTATACTGTACTATAAAACACATTTGTTTGTCACGGACTAAAAACACTGACTGAGGCCCCGTCCACACGTATCCCTTTTCATTTGAAAACGCGACTTTTTCTTTACGAATACGGCTTCCGTCCACATGTATCCGATGAAAACGATCAATGAAAACGGAACTTGCACGTGAGGACAGACGAAAACAACGCTGAGGTCACACTGTAAGTTCCAATCCACTCCGCGCAATATTAGAAACTTATTCAAGGTTTCTTGTCCTTTAACACGTATGGGTCAAGCATGCGCAGTTGGGTAAGTTGTCGTTTTCAAAATCGATTCATCGTAAACGTGTGGACGGGCGTAAACGATGCGAAAACGCTCCGAGTGGACGCGAATTTTTTTGAAAACGGAGAAAAAAAATTGCGTTTTCAAACCAATGCGGATACATGGGAATAGGGCCTGAGTTTAGCTGTCCTCCCCTGAGCCAGAGAAGAATTTGATTTCCTCTACATCGGCTGATTCACCCATTCGGTAGTCCGGTAGACCATCGATGACAGACAAAAACATGAAACTGGACAAATGAATTCCTTTTCATTTGTTAATCATTGCTCTCGTTTTTATCAGAGGATTGCTGTATTTGGTACGTCGGTATCTCTGTTGCATACCCCGAGAGTAACAACACCCCGAACGTAACGAGCCCCGGCCCAAAGGCTGCTAATTCCGAATGTAACGAAGGTCGCTACTATGGGAACTTTACGGTAGTTTGGAAAGTTCAAGTAAATGTCGACTCGTCTTTATAAGACAGGAAACAACGTACGTGCCTGTTGGATTAGGACATTTCATTTTTTATACGAGTACGAAATTTAACTTAAAGTTTTTGCTCGTGTTTTTTAAAAAAATACACCCCGGAACTGCGGCTTCATTTTACTTTGTTTCACTCAAAAAGGGGTGTCAGTAAAACGCGGGATCGGGGTCGGGGCTGAGGCTGGGGTCGGGGTCGGAGTCTATCATTTTTTATCGTATGCTGTTTCAGGGTTAGGGTTAGCTAGGGTTAGGGTGAGTGTCAACCCTAGGGTTAGGGTTAGGGTTAGGGTTGGACGTAGAGCGTGACCATGCAACGCATGACCATAGCGAGGAAAATCAAAAGCAACTGCCTTACTTGCCCTGCCTGTAATAGCTGGCTGAATTTTTGCGTCCGAGGTCATTTTGGAATCAAAACTTTTATATTACAGCTCATTAACACAGGTTATTTCCTATGCATTTTTTAAAATGAACTTGGGCCTCCGATCATATGAAAACTATTAACTTATCGGCGGGTAACTTGAAAAAATACTCGACCTCGATGGGTCGATACCTTAGCTTGCGATATGGCCAGGTGATACCTGGTCAGCGGATACCCTGTTTTGACAGCTGCCAATTGATCACAACATTCAGCTGAACATTAATGTGCAATCAGTTTTCTCCTGGGCTCCCAAACTAGCTAGACGGTGTGGGATTAAACATTGGTTGCCCTGTGGTGCGGACGGAGGCTCGGGCGGTCGGGCGGCGTACGGTCACGTGATTACCCAATTTTCTAGGATGGATAGACTTAGCTATGGTGTGGCGCTCGTCAAGTCAAGTAAATTTAGTGCCCGCACTCACTCACTGACTCGCTGACTCTCGCCATGCCCCTTTGAGCCTCTTGGGAGGAGAGAGCCCTTGGAACGCGGGTATACGGTTCAAACCCCGGACGGACCAACACTCAGGGTCTTTAAATAACTGAGAAGAAAGTGCTGCCTTTGTAATGACATCTGCAAACAGTTAGAATTTCTAGTCTTTTCAGATGAGGACGAAAAACCTGTAGGTCCCGTCACACAACACTATCTGGTTCTTGTGGGACGTAAAAGAACCCGCATCACTGCTCGAAAAGAGTAGGGGACGTAGACCCCGGTGATGTGGCCAACCTTCACACATCACATGGGCTGGGTGTTTTTACAGGAAGCTCATAAATGGACAGAGGGAGGCTGACGGTAGCGCCTTTGTATGCTGACGTCCAAGCTTACTGTTCACATGTTAATATATATTGTAAAGAGGGCACGTCTGTCGTCCTCTTTTCCATGACTCCTTTGTTCCTACGTCATTTGGTCATCGCAACATCCGCAACATCAGGAAGTGAGCTTGAGAGACGGGCAAAAAAACTGTTTAATTCTCAAGTTGAACCGACACAAAAGAAACGGAAAGGATACAACCTCGTTCCTAGAGTGTTCTCGCTTTCCAAAATGGCGGTGGCAGGACAGCTGCCGCCGCCATATTGAAAAGCGAGAAGACCCTGGGGACGAGGTTGGGAAGGAAACTGCAAGGATTTCTGAAATCGTTTCTGGGGTTGCACTGGTCAGCTATTGGGCAATTTTTATCACCTGTCAATCATGTCCCAAGCAACAGTCCCAGATTTCCCATAAGTGCTTTGCGAAAGTTAACTCGACCCAGTTTCCTTCTCGTTTGTCACAGTGATGGGCATCCCCGTTCCTAAAGCCCTAGTGATACAGGCATCCCCTTCTCATATTACCTTAGCGATTTGGGTTAGGGTTACAGGGGATGCTCATATCACTAGAGTTTTGGGAGTGGGGATACCCCAGATGATATCACCGTGACAGCGAATTAGAGCAAACTCGGCAAGAGAAAGAGTTTATTTTAGACTTGCTCTTTTCCACGACCCAACTTAAACTGTTATTTTTCTTCCCAGTCCCTCTCCTTTTCCTACGGTTTACCTCTGCTGAAAATTGCTCACGGTCTGATTGGAGGAAGCTATGTGGTCATTTGGCATTTACATGCGGTATCACAAAAACACACAAGCGTTTAAAGATACTTTTTATTGTTTATTCCATCGAAAGGCAAACTAGAAACTGCAGAGAATTCACTGACGTTGACCTTTTTGCCTCTCCATATAATATTCGATTCATTTACAGTTCAGTCATATTTCATCAATACGTTCTTAAGCTATAAATTAGCTCATTACGTCACTTCATAAATAAATAAATTCTAAGAATGAATACACTTGAACACGATATTCGATTCTCGCCAAGAGTGAATACATTTGATTTTGAAGCGGTCTATAACCGCAATAAAATCGAAAGACAAACTAAGCAAAACTTACTCCTATTACTACAATTACAAAATGATACAGGATAAAAACAACGCTAAAAAATTCAATAAACTTATGATTTTATAAGCAGAGGTTGCTATACATATAAAGATAAAGTTGCGTCCACGATTCTATCCAACATGAATAATTATAATAATTAAAAACCCGGAGGCCACAGACCAGTTGGCAATTATCGCTTTCTAAATTTATTAAACAAACACACTCTTTTAGCTAACTGTGATACTGCTACATACTGTCAACTCTCGCCTTACGGACACCCCAGTAATACGGACAGGAACTAAATCCCAGGTAAAAATAAATTACAGACGTTTGACTAAAGAAATTCCCGCTACTACTGACTTTCGCTAATAAGTTAGTTTTTGACAAGTTGAATACCCCCGCCCCCCCTCCCATACAATGTCTTTAACATTAACGCGAACCACTGCGTCCGTCCCACTATTTGGGAATTGGTTTCCGAGGAAGCTTGGTCTGAGACGTTTCTCTCATCTGCGCATGCACAGCCGAGCCCAGTAATCTTTGAGAATACACCAATGATTTTAGCTGGGTGTCAGGAGTATTAAAAGCTGCAAACATCCACCAAAGAAAACTGACAATCTCCTCACACACAAGTCTCACTTTTTTGGTCATGTTCTTCGCTGTTTTTAACCTCGACGTAAGTTGGCTTTGCTTTTGGCGCGTAAGATCGGAATTTGAGCATTCTCTGCTCATGCTCGCTTGTTGATGATTTAGTTTTGGGTCGACGCTGCGGTAATAGCGGCTCATCGCTTTCCTCAATCGACGAAACCCCCTCGTCTACCCGAAATCGAGACATAAGCGGCACCCAAGGGCAGTCCCCTTGGTCAAGAGTTGAGCTATCCTCGATGGACGGGGGTGGCGGTGGAAAGTCATTTGAATCACGACTAACACGGTTCAAGTCTTTCTCCTCTTTAGGAGTTTCAGGGATCAAAGGATCTGTTGCCTGAGTAAAAGGTTCGTGTTCATCGACTGTATTCGCCAGCGGATGATCTTGAAACTCTTTCACGAATTTTGGGGGGTGCTCGATAGTGACAATATCTGAAGAAGAATAAGGCCGCGCTACACTTCGGGGCTCTGGTAACGAATTTTGCCGAATCGAGAGACTCGGCGTTGATCTCTCGTGACTGAAATCCACTGAGACGGACTGGGGAAGAGGTGGTCGAAATGAACCGGAACTGCTACTACTGGTACTTTTACTTCCGGAAGTGCTGTTACTCCGTTTGACGGTCACGGCAGCCTTGATTGGCCCATTTCTTGCTCTTGTCAACACTATAGGTGCAGGGCGACCAGCCTCCGCGGTGTCTTCGGTGACAAAAAACAGCGAATTGCTGGATGTTTTGCTCTCTCGCACGGGATCAATTGTTTGTAAAGGATGAAGGTTCTCGCACGTGCAGTCGACTCTAGGCGTAAAATTGCGTTTCTTTCCCCACCCTAAAGCTGTACTTGTTCGCTCGACACTTAAAGATTCGTTTTCAAGGTCAGAGCGTTCTCTCTGATCCTCTGACTCGCTGAAAGTTATCAAATCTGTGCCGCACGGGGGAGGTGTAGGGAGATCCTCGTCGCTATCATCGTCAAATACCGCGCGGGCCTCGGGCTGAGGCGGCAAATTAATATCGTCTTCAATAGAAATAAGAACATTTTCTTGGTCAATTTCACTGTGCTTCAAACCGAAATTATCCGTCACGTCGCTTGCTCCATCCTCTTCGTCTTCATGGCGAAACACCTCGTTGTGTTTCGCAGTGCTTTCCTCTTTATCCAATTCAGTCTCTGTTGTGCCGACAGTCTCTCCATTATTCTCCTCCTCATCGTCAGACTCCGGTGCCGAGGGAGGCTGGAGAACTATATCCGGGGCTTTCGATGAAAGAGTCTCTTGGTGAACTTGTTCCGGTGAGTCTGCAGTGCTCCGACCAGGAGCGGGCAGCGGGCTGATGTGATCCCATGGACCTGCAAAGGGAGGCCAAATGAAATGGGGTCTAAAAAACGATTCTTTTATGGGGGTTATACCCTGGTTATATTGTTAACCAGCTGCCTCGCTATAAGGAAAGGTGGGTCCCGGGGCCATCTAGCACAGTCATTTTAAGGCTGAGCGAGAGACTGGGTCGGTGTCGGGTCGAATTGCATTATGGCACTGTTTTACAAACGCTTTCACTTTCTTCTTTCTTCTTCAGGAATCTGGGTCACAATTCGTTCCGCAAAACAGTCCCATATAGTGCGATTCGAAATGGACGTCGTTGAGCACATTCTTGGGCATTGTTTTTGCCTGACTTTGCAGGCAAATGTTCTCATGGATATTCTATTATCCATGGTAGCGTCAAGGCATATTAACCCTTTCACTGCCAGAGTGTTTGATGGAGTTTTGTAAGGTGACTCTAACTTTTGAGTCTATGGACGAAATCCTATGATGTGACCATTCAAATGAAAGCTCTCTGCCTGTACTTTCACACGATGCTATTTGTTTCTCAAAATTTTAGAAAATGAAATTTGCAAATTTGGTCGAAATTTGCCTTTTGGCCACACTTGGCAGTGAAAGGGTTAAAAGGGATCTAAGGCCTCACTTCCGGTTGAAGCGCGTGGCCCAACTTTGCTTAAGCTTCCAATTTCTAGCAACGAACGTTCATCGAGTAATTTTTAAGTGAAAGAACGAAATGTAAGTTTTCTAACCTGAAGATGTCTTGAGAAGCTGGCAGTTCATCTCTCCTGGACTGACACATCTGTTACTGGAGTGACTGGAAGAAATGACCAAGGACAAGGCAGGATAAGTACATTGGGAATGGTGTGCCGAACGCGAAGGAGAGATAAGAATATTCTCAAATGATCGAGGACGGGTTCAGATGAATACAGTACCATAAAATGGTGAGAAACCAAAAGGACACAAAAATGTTTAGAGTTAAATAACGATGATAAAGAGCACAAACAGGAAGACTAGAAGCCAACAATGATTTCTAATGACGAAGGATTGATGATCGAAACTAAAGAATAGTGACAGAGAGTTACACTATTTCAAAAAGCACACACAGAGGACTAGCTTGATGGAGTTTTCTTCCGATAAACGTATCCTGCGACAATTCAGGAGACTGTTGCAAATCCGTCACGATAAACCATGTGCCTGAACTATTTGACAGCTACCTTCGTTAACTACTAGAATTATCAAAAACCGCCGGAAATTTAATCGACGGCAGCAAAAAACTTAACTGTTGGTTGAATTTTTCTTACTTTAGAGATTGCATATTTTTTTAAACCGTAGCACACCCTCAAGTTAAAACTTAATTTGCGAAAACCTATCAGCCATCACTGAAACGTAAGCTGCCTGAGAATACCGTCCTTAATAAACTTGTGTTATATGTGCCCTATGATGGATCAATGGAGTCTGAATCACATTCTGAAAAGAAAAGATGCATATTCTAGGATCTACCCTCGGGCTGCTAGAGACATTTTTTTTACGCGGTTTCCGGTTGCGTCTAGATTAAGTCTTGCCGCTCGTCTGGCCGACCGCCGCATGAACGCGAGAAAAGCAACTGCTACCTAGGGTGCTTAGCACTCAAAAGAAGAGAGAATTGAATCTTACAAAAGAGAAAACACGTAAAGAAGCACGTACCACACGCAATCTTGGCTGGGATTTCTGGCCTCCAATACCCATGCGCGGAAAAGCTGCCAATCACCAAAGGTCATGTTCATGATTTGTCCCAGTTCATTCAGGTCACAAGCAGCCAACACTTTACCGTTGATATTGTTCTCTGTTATGGTGGCCTGGTAAGTGGAAATCAGTTTCTGGCCGAGGCCCTCTAACTCAGCTACCTGAAAGGTATAGGTTATATTTTGGTAAATTTGAAAAGGTGGCCGTGTAAGTAGCAATTTGGCAGTACGCAGAGTTGATGTATAACCGCCAGTACGGAAAGAGGGCAAGCTAATTCCCACGGATTTTCTTATCCCCACCCATTTCCTAAGAAAAAGCCCGGAAAACAGGGTTGGAAAGCGGGATCTTCCTGTTAGTTTAGTCAAGAGCCCCTTACTACAAGTCCATATACTGTGACTACATCTTGTCTTTTTAGGTGATCTCTTCATGCTCAAGCAGGATTTTATAGAGAAGGGGCCGCGCGAACAGCAAAATAGAGCGTAAAAAAAGATGATGACAAAAATGGTGAGGGAACAATAAATGCGTTTCTTCGATTCCTCTCTCTTTGTTCTCCACTTCGCGCTTCTCCCCACTATTTTATAACCAGAAAAACGCCCCTTCTCGTTAGTTTTAGTGATCATTGCAAATATATGACCTTTAGATCGCTTTTACTTTCATGCTTGTCAGTAATACCAGCCATTCGAACAAGTCAGTGGGTGGTCAGGTGCGTACTTTCTGCGGAACGTTGGCGATATAAAGTTATTGCATCAAGCGACGTTTCACACGTTGCCATGGACACCTGAATTGCTTACGCCACTGTCAACCTTAAAAGACACCAGATCCCGAGCTCACCAGTTCGATTGGTATTCATGTGCTTTTCTCTTAAATAACTGCCCATAACGCTGCCTAAGGTAAATCAACAATATACAATAAGTGAAAACCTTGTGCAAATTTTCCCTTTAATTTTACCACTGACCTGCTTACAAACATCCTCGATCGTTAAAGTAGCTATGTCCGCTTGCTTGTTAGAACTTGACGTGGCGCCGACCTAAAGATGGGAAAGAAGCATTAGTACAGATAAACTGAAGAATTTCTTCTCGCGGATTTTTTTTTAGACTGAAACAACAGCCGACATTTCGCGACGCCATGGCTCCTGGTTGCCCAGCAGAGGGCTTCGGAGGAACGAGCGCAGAAATTCCACCATGTCACTACCCAGAACTGGGGGAGCGCTTCTGATTGGTCGTGACGCGACGATAACAAATAAATACATAACACTGTTTTACAGGAAGCCATTACAACACCTGAAGGAGGATCATGACGTAATCCCTATAAATTTATTAAGATTTCCTTACAGATAACCCACTCAGCCCAAGAAAGGTTGGCCACACCACCGGGGTCTACGTCCCCTACTCTTTTCGAACAGTGGTGTGGGTTCTTTTACGTCCGACAAGAACCAGATAAGTGAAAATGCTGTGAGAAGGAACCTTCGATTTTTGGTCCTCATCGGAGAAAACTAGATTGACCCTGATTGTTGGTCCGGCCAGGGTTTGAACCCACGACCTGCCGCTCAGCAGACCGGCGCTCTCGCATCTAAGCTAACCAGGCGGCGGTTAAATATTAATATGCTTCAACCATTCAGAAGCACTACCCAGATCTAAGTAGTGACACGTTAACAATATAAAATGTTTTGCGGAAACTGTGGTGGCGTCGCGAAATGTTGGCCGTTTTCTCAGGTAATAGGATTTTTTTTAACATTACAGAAAGCATATATTTAACAATTATTCCTCGATCCCGAATGGGCTCTGAGTCAAAAGCCCATGAAGCTGAAGGCCGAATGGACTATTGACTCAGAGGCCATGAGCACGAGAGGAATAATTGTTTTAGTAAAATCCAACTAGTTGGTCAAAAATATCGAGACAAAACAACTTTAGCTAGCAAAACGCGATTCAGCAGCCATTGTTTGGTTTTCAAATCTGGCGCTTTTCGCTACTAGTGGGCTATAACATATAGCCTGGTAGTAGATCAACCAATCAGAACGCAGCATTGATAATAGACCACAAGTTGGATTTTACTAATTACGGTTAATTAATAAACAAAGGTGGCAAGATGTTGGCGTTATTTCTCAGGATGCAAAATCGGAATGGGGATTTATTATTTCAACCATTATGTTCTGAGACTATTTAGAGGTCTTTGTGGTTACAGAAGGCGCTGGCCAAAATTAATAATGCTGCTTATCGTTTACACGCGCACAAAACGTAGAAACAAACAGCAGCAAATTAATTAATAAAAGAGCATTCCTGAAAAAATAAAGGCGGCAAAAGTTTTAGAGGACAGAGTTCTTCTTTTTATTTTTAAAAACTAGAGCGAGTTTCTGAAACGTCATTGGAGTCTTACTGAAATTGCACGTCCGAGCCCGTTCCAGGCATTTAACTAATTCAGAGACCTTTAGATTCGAGGACAAGGGCAGCTACGAGGACTCGATTTAACTAAGATTTAACTTTAAGTTTTTTCTGATATTCTTACAAAACACCTCGGAAAGCTTCATTTAACTTTTTTTCACCAGCTAGAAAAGTGAGCACAGTTATTTGTATTGAAGGAGGTTAAATCCTCTCCTGAGCGCAAAATGTTAAACTTGTACCATTTGATAACTTGTTTCCGCCATTACGACATTCTCGCTAAAATAGGGACTTTAAGATCCAACGACGCGACGGCGACAAAAACGTCGCTTAAAAAGTGAATTTGAGTTTTTTCAGTCTTAATAGCGATTATTCCTACTCACTTACTTTGTCAATTGTAGGTGAACCCTCCTGAAGTTGAATTTCAAGGGGACCATATTCAAGCTCAGAAAGAGAAATAAAATTTCGTCGTTGCTTGTTTACGTTCTCCATAAAACGCGAAATTAGGCACTTTCACGTCGTAGTCGTGCAAAAACGGGAAAGAAATGTACAAAAAAGTGTGATGCACGTGCGAAGTTGTTGTTTTGCTAATTAAACCTGTTGTTTTTTTGACGTTGTCGTTGTCGTCCGCGTCGTTGGATCTTAAAGTTCCTATCATGAACTTTCACGACGACTATCACGTTTTCCCGCCAAAATGACGTTGGCATGGTTCACGCGCGCGCACTACTTAGTAATAAGAAAATCTCGTCCCCGTAGACTAAGAATCTAAATCTCTCTATTTTCTGTCGCGTCAAATGCAATTTCTTAATTACCTGCAATGTTGTTTCCCAAGCTTCCGGTGTCTGATTTATTACCAGTCACGGAACCTCCGGACTGCAGACACTCCACCATCTGTCTTCGTAAAGACGGATCCAAATGCACGGTGCACGGCAGAAAGCGCCGTACGTCAGCCGTACTCAGCAGCGGAAAATGACTGGCAAGAAAAGTTTCGAAATACACTGGATCTCCATCCACTGCGCAATCAACTTCATTGATCACAGGCATGGCGGACAACGTAGCTTCATAAAGATCTTTCAAAGAAACGTTGTCTTTCAGGCGTGTGTTAGTGTCTTCAATAAGAAGTACCAGCCATGAGGTTTTGTACGGCCATCCATCTACAACACTCACCCAGGCAGCAAGCCGCTTCCATGAGTATTCAATACCGCGGGCGCGCAGCAAGCGGCATGTGAAGGAAATAATATTCATAAGGCGTTTTACACCAAGAGGATTTACAGTTTCGTTATCAGCCAGGACTTGAGCAAGGTCCGTTGAAATCCTGTGCCTTTCCTCGAGCTCCAGCTCTCGGTCCAGGAGCTTTTGATGATCCAAACAACGCTCTTCCTCTTCTCGCGAAGGCTCGTACAGCATGGAGTGATGCAACTCTAAATCCGGGTGCATCCGACTCGTCAACCCGCCATTGCAGTTGTGCAGATCACGTGATATCCTCTGGGGTACGCTGCTTTCGGTACTGTAATCCAGCATCTCCCCATCCCACTCTAGCTCGTCTCCGATGACGCTCGTCGACATTCTCTCGGGCGCCGCCGCCGCCCCCGATTGCGAGTGTATCTCACCTCTTAGTTCCTCCAGAAGGGTGACTACCCCAGGGGGTAGTACACCGGTATAATTTGTTTTGGGTTCAGGGGGGTAAAAAGGAAGTTGAATAATGCTTTTGAGGTAATCCGAAGCACTGATGTGCGACTCACGCAAGATACTGCTGAAGCTTTGATCGATAGCGCGTATGATGACCCTCAGGTCTAGAGCCATTAGTATGATAGTGCCTCAGGATCAGTAAAAAGCAAATTGACAGAATCAAGAAGCTGCAGGACTTTTGACTGTTCCGAATTATCCAATCCATCGATCAAAATCACAACTCGGGTTTGATGTCTTGTGAATCCATCTACGCAGTTCACTAAGTCCGTCAACAATTCCACTTCTTGTTTAAGAGCATGTATGAATCCCTCTTCCTTTAGTCCTAGCTGAGTTGCTACAACCGAAATCCTCTTTTTCTGCGAGAAAACCAGCGAGTACAAGATAGAAAATAGCGTGGGCAGGTGAATCAGCACAGCCACACCAACAATCGACGCAGACGCAATCTCGATCCCTGTGATGACAGATCCACCACTCGTTCCGTAAACTTTGAAAAACACAACTCCTATTATTCCAAGCGCCACAATAGCGAGAAAGACGGTAAAAGTGGGCAGACAACAGCAGCAGCGTTTCCAACGCGCCTCAGTCATCGACGTCTCATCGTATTCTGAAGGTTGAGAGCGAAACACTCGATATAACCTGCTCACAAAAAATCCAAATTCATTCTCGACGACATCGCATAAATTTTCAATCATTCCCACCAAGGAAGCTGCCTCGCTTCCACCGCGCGCGGCTTTTGGTTGGTTAAGCGAACGCTCGATTCACGTCCGAGAACTTTCTAGAAATCAACCGATACTTCGCTTTGACGTCATACTGCAACACGATTGGCCAATTGGCCAATCGAACAATGCCTTCTCCATATTAGGGTTTTCTTTGGAGGGAAAACGAAGACTCCATGTTTTGATCTTTTTATCCATTGGTTGATAAAACAAATAACGAACACTTACAGCAGCCATTTTTCAAGGTCGTACGAAAATCGC